ATTTCATTGTAACATTAAAAAAATATTAAAAGTCTCATAAGTAACAATAAAGAAAATGACGATATTTTTGTTACTTATGAGTAAGCCGTCATTAGGGAGAAGTTGTTCGTTCGATTCCCGTCACGGCGGGCAACGATTCTAAGCCACCTCATTGTCGCAACGAGTATTGTCGTGTTCTTCCATGTAAACCAGACTAGTATACGAAGCAATTAACTCATGTAGATGTATTTATATATTGAATAGACGAGTACAATTATTAAAATAAATTGTAATTAATAGTACTGCAAAAGCACCACAATTTTTCTAATTTCCGTCAAGTGAGTGCCCCCTCCCCTGGTCCTGAAGTTAGTCTCACGCGGCGGTTGCCGTATGTTACTGACTCAACGCATTTTAAGTGCATCAACTGATCTATACTGTGCATTATATTGCATCCTGCTTTTAGTGGATACACTATAATAATACCTAGAACATACCAATGTCTTTTGGGTACACAAGTACATCAAAACGATTCCTCATTCAAAGTACTCAAAGTTTTTTTAAGTGGTTCAATGTTGCGACAGGAAACTTCTTTCAATACGTTTAGCTTGTGTATGTTCTTAAATGTGTATTCTGTTTTCAAAAGATTCCACTTCGACGGAAACAAAATAAAATGTGATTTGCAACTAGTATTGATAAAAAAATAAAAAAATCCAACAACATACTTTTTTGTGTTGAAAAATCTTAGGCATTCATCGTAACTTTAAACCGCACAAAGAGTGATGAAAATGAGCATTAGAGAATAAATCGCTTTTAATAATAATAATAATGATTATATTAATATTGTTCACATCCGTTTAATAGGAGCTGCCTCACCCCCTCTCGGGTAATTTAAAGCTATCCAAACGAAGTGATTTATATTCAACCGTTCACCAACCTGACGGTACCCCGGTAGTATGTTCAGTGGTCATAGCAAGTGCGCGTTGAACCTATCGTACGAAGAAAAAAAAACGACACGTGTTTATTTTCACTGGAGAGTAACAAAGATGCCATGTCCATGCATTAATGACAATAACAACAACGCAAAATGGAAAGAAAGCCCGGCATTCACTCGTATGCGAAGTCTTTGAGAAGAAATTCGACTGTCAGTCTTTTCAAAACTCACTCGTTACTTCCGTTTACAATGAAAGCGTTCTTTGACAGTGCACTGTCAACACGTGTAGGTTGGTGTGCATTCTACGTACTCGGCTATATAGATAGCTTTCTCTACTACACCGCATATCTAAGTTGTTGTTTATTAACGGTGCCCCGCATGCTAGCCAGTCAGCAACTGGGGATAATAAGAAACTTCCGTTTAATACTCCAATTAGCTGGCTGTCGTTCATGAATGTCAGCCGGCTATATGCCGACTCATTTCGGCTCTACTTGAAATACGCCGGTGTGCATTCTTGTGTTTTGTCTGGTCTGTAATTGACCCGTCTTGAATTCATTTAGCAGTAGAGCTCATTTCCTCTGTTGAGGAATTGCTCACATTGTTTGGCACTATTCATCCATATTTCGTTTTTTTTAAATTTCATTTGGACTTCAAAGTTGTTTCTTTAGACTTAGTCTTTTTTATGTTTTGTCTTTTTGTGTTTTTTTCATGAATCGTATTCCATCTTGAATTTCAAATTAATGTACAGTAGACTGATATCCGATGGATGGGTGGGGGGGGGGTGGTTGTCGTTTACTGCTAAATGTTGAACCAATGAACGGACACATGTTTCTCTCAAAACCCGGAGGAGGGGGGTCGGTCAAGAACTCGAAGTTGTCGTTGCTGCATCACTTTTTGCCCATGATTAAAATGCCCACCCCTAGACTCATTCACTGCCTAAGGAGAAACTATTTGTTACTTTTGGCACCATGGCCGTTCTTCAAAGCATTTTTTTTCGTATTGGAGGCTGGGTTGCCGAAAAATGTGTAGACAACCAATATCTGACGAGTTGTAACAACTTGAATCAATTCACAGATTGTTTTAGTAATTGACGCGGTTTCATGTGAATTCTGCGCTGAGTTCGATCGAGATTTCCCGGGATTTACTCCTCAGCTCCATTTCTATTTAATTCGTCTACGTACAACACACTAACAGTCAAATGTAAAACCTAAAGTGGCTCCAGTCGGGACGACGAGTTTTGGTTTTATATAAATAAACGATGATTTTCGCAATCAATTCGCCAAATTTATTTTTAAAAAGATGTTTTTACTTAATTTTTAGTAAAACACTTTGACTAAAACTACGTCCACCCTGTTGTGTAGTCCCAAACATATGATGGTTTCTGTGGCAAAAAAGTACCGTGACTACTACGTCCATCCAATAAGGTAGTATGGTTTGCCCTTAGTAATTTAAAAAAAGGAAAATGCAAAACCAATATACTGTATTAAATAATTGACTCTTCATACGTCACAGGTTTATTGATGATGCAATACGCAAGGTAAGTCGTAAATGATGTAATGTAGGTCACATTCCAATTAACCCCTTGCGCTCATCTATCACTACGTAATATACCGTACTCTTGTAAGCATTCATCAATTCCCCGGGAACGTTTTACGGGACTTGTTAAGGATACATAGTCGACACTCGACAAGACGCTGAAAATGAATTCAATATAGCCAACCACCGTGTCACGCCTTTTCCATAGTGTAAACAATCATAGGAAATGGTTGCAAGACAACAAGTCGTGAAATGTACACGTCACTGAATACTTCATTATTCATCTTTGGGACCATATGTCCAGAACGCGCGTCTCACCTGTACGCGGTTACTTGGGGGTGTCTTTCAGAACGTGGGTTCTTTTGTGGCAGAGGTTTTACGACGATTCATATTCTGGCACTCGTGCCGATGTTCAACATCTATATAACAAATTTTGGAACGGGGAATAATAAAACAAACAATAACAATAATAGGACGTTTCTGGCTATCTCATTTGTTATAGTAAATTGTGACAGATTCGTCGTACAATATTTCTTAAAAACAACGTGTCTTCTGGGTCAAAGTTCGTTACTACAAGGCTGACAGGTGTCTTTCCAATTTCATCCCACGTGACATTACCTTACCCGGAGGTCACAAACCTACATGTTAGAAAAAAACAACACTTCGAATGTCAATTTTGTCTTTTCTTGTGCTGATTGAATTTGTCTTGTGAATGCCATCATCCGTGGCGAGTTCCTGCCCGGTATTTCGCTCATTTACAACTCACAATGGTCAAGAAGGAAACGTACTAAATTGTTGGTAACTTTCTCACGCTATCATTTCTTAAAGCTAACAACAGTTGGCGCTATTGCAAATAACAAACCCAAAACAGGCTCAGCGGCATCAGTATTCGATATATGTCTTGACTGAGACTATACGCACAATCTGGTAGGTCAGAACAAAGTTGGTTTCTTTGAATTTTGAAACTGACATTTCAAAAGCTTAAACTAACAACATGAGAATTGAGGAAAACAATTTTGAAATCGTAGTTTCAATGTCCCAATCAAGGTATTATTGACATTCAGGCGCTGGGATTACGTATGTATGCATTATAAATCTTTTTTTTAATCATAAACGTACACACCATGTATTTTTCTAAGCTGCCCCATCTCTAAGTAGTCACATATTCGTCAGATTGAACCAAACTTAACGAAAACTGTGTACTCCTTGTATCAGCCTGTTTTTAATTGACGAGTGTGGTTTCTGCCGATCAATACATTGAAACAAGCACAATCCTGTTGATTGCAGCAAATAACGGCTTCGATATGAAGCGAAATCGGCAATATTTAGCTACCAGGAGTGCTAACTACCAGTATTTGAAGCGGAAACTTTATTAGGTTTGAACACTTGGTGGCGCTATACATATTTCATTAATGTTTGAGCGAGCTGTGGCTGTTTAATTGTAATACAAAACCTGTACATTGCCATCTATGGGGAATTTGATTGTAGTACAAGACAGGTACATTGTAGTCTATGAGAAGTTTAATTATAGTACAAGACCTGTACATTGTAGTCTATGGGAGTTTAATTGTATCGGTCGTAGAAGACCTGTACATTGTAGTCTATGGGAAGTTTAGTTGTCCAGGTAGAAAGAGACCTGTACATTGTAGTCTATAGGAAGTTTAATTGTACCGGTAGTAGGAGACCTGCACATTGTAGTCTATGGGAAGTTTAATTGTACCGATAGTAGGAGACCTGTACATTGTAGTCTATAGGAAGTGTAATTGTACCGGTAGTAGGAGACCTGCACATTGTAGTCTATGGGAAGTTTAATTGTACCTGCAGTATAAGACCTGTACATTGTAGTCTATGGGAAGTGTAATTGTACCTGCAGTAGAAGATTGTACATTGTAGTCTATGGGAAGTGTAATTGTACCTGCAGTAGAAAACCTGTACATTGTAGTCTATGGGAATTTTAATTGTACCGATAGTAAAAGACCTGTACATTGTAGTCTATGGGAAGTTTAATTGTACCTGTAGTAGAAAACCTGTACATTGTAGTCTATGGAAAGTTTAATTGTACCTGCAGTAGAAGACCTGTACATTGTAGTCTATGGGAAGTTTAATTGCACCTGCAGTAGAAGATCTGTACATTGTAGTCTATGGGAAGTTTAATTGTACCTGCAGTAGAAGACCTGTACATTGTAGTCTATGGGAAGTTTAATTGTACCTGCAGTATGAAGACCTGTACATTGTAGTCTATGGGAAGTTTAATTGTACCTGCAGTAGAAGATCTGTACATTGTAGTCTATGGGAAGTTTAATTGTACCTGCAGTAGAAGACCTGTACATTGTAGTCTATGGGAAGTTTAATTGTACCTGCAGTAGAAGACCTGTACATTGTAGTCTATGGGAAGTGTAATTGTACCGGTAGTAGGAGACCTGCACATTGTAGTCTATGGGAAGTTTAATTGTACCGGTAGTAGAAGGCCTGTACATTCTACATCTGTACAGGGAGTTCAACAGTATTACAAGATCTGTATATGTGTGAATTACAACAAAGAATATAAACCTGGTTAAGATTTAAAGTAACCAACATTTAATTTGAAAACAAGATAAAGAGTATGAAGTAAATATGAAGCTTAAAATTTCAAGACAGTTTTGTAATCATAACCTTGATAAAAACACTCTCCCATATTCTCACAATGGTACTTTCAAATTTCCATTTAAATATTAAAATTCCATTTCATGATTTTTTTGTTTTTAATTTAGAAGCTCATAATAAAACAATATTACACTTTTAGTCGAGACAAGCTTGTATATTTTGTTATGATACAAGCAAGTTGGTAATTGTGACTTCTCAAGACCCAGGGTTTCAGCCAGCGAGGCGGTCACCAATTTACGTGATTGACTCGATTATAACAAATATGTGTACACTATATTTGCAATACTATTTGAACTATAGAAGTGCTAAGAGAAAAACTACAAATCAATAGCATTCGCAACACACTTACTGGAAATAGCAAACTTATATAAGTGCGCCCCCTACAGGCAAGATTTGGCTTTTCATTTCTATGGTACAGAACAGTGATAATTTTACAAGTAACCATGGAAACAAATCAGCACCATAAGGACATATATTAACACTTGAAGACTGCTAACGACCATATTCCAAGGATGATAACAAGACTCATATGTGTTTGGCCAGAGAGCATGGTTAAACTTAATTCAAACTTAATAATTTAGCATTAACTGTTTCTGTATCCGCTTATACTGCTACCAAAAATTAATTATCAGCAAATATGGATTAATTAAATGAATTACAATACAGATTAAAATACTAAAATTACTAGAAACATTTTATAACTTGGTTGGTTTATGCATATACCCAAACCAGATGATAGTGATAAGACTCATACAAAACGGTGCAAGTCAATGTAGAGGAGCCTTTCAGTGAACAGACGCAGCTAAGATTATTAGATCATTGCAAATATAATAAATCATAGAAAATCATTGACAATGCCGATAGATTTCTGAAAAACAAAACAAGGTAAGAAAAAATAAACTTTTACCCTAATTTTATATAATTTTTTTTTTAAATCCATTTTTCAAATTTCTCCAAAAAAAAAATAAAATAAAATGCTCAATTCCCACGCACCCTCCCGATTAACACTTGGTAAATACAGAACATAAAATACTTAAATACTGAAACGGTGTGATTTACAGAACTGTAATAAACACAGATGACAACCCTGATGTATCCACGATTTAATTAAATACAACTATCATAGGGAGTAAAGGGCTACCTATCTCACTGTTAATAATTACCACTGTTAAAATGAATTATGTTGCAGTATTTTAATAATGTTCTTAGTAAATATAGAAATAGCTGAATCTGGTTCTAACGCCAGTCGTAAATTGTCTTTTTACTTTAATGTACATGACTGCACCACGTAAAAACAGCATCATCCCTGAAAAATACAAAAATACAATACATACGTATTAAATTGAGGATAACAAAATGTTAAAATCTGACAATATATGACGAAAATGGAAGAAATGATAGCAGGTCCAAAATGCCATGCGTGGCCACCAAAATGCCATGCGTGGCCACCAAAATAGCATGCGTGGCCACCAAAATAGCATGCGTGGCCACCAAAATGCCATGCGTGGCCACCAAAATGCCATGCGTGGCCACCAAAATGCCATGCGTGGCCACCAAAATGCCATGCGTGGCCACCAAAATATCATGCGTGGCCACCAAAATACTATGCGTGGCCACCAAAATGCCATGCGTGGCCACCAAAATGCCATGCGTGGCCACCAAAATGCCATGCCTGGCCACCAAAATGCCATGCCTGGCCACCAAAATGCCATGTGTGGCCACCAAAATGCCATGCGTGGCACCAAAATACCAGTCTGTGAGAGTGCTCAAATGGTTAAGAATGTAATTGAATCAGCAAAACACATGCCTTCATAACCCTAGCAAATAATATTACCAGTGATATACAACTGATAAATATCTACTCTAGAGGGCGACATCACGTTAACTTACCAAGGAGGAGGAGAATCCACCATAAACAGGGTAAAGTATCAACATAGTCGGTCAAACTAGCGGTGTGCTGCAAGGAATTACAAAAAAAAGAAGAAATTAAACATAAAAAATATAATTCTGACACGCTGATCGAGTAACGATAAACAAAGTACATGTATATTTCCTAGTCGGAGACAAATAATGCCATTGTTTACCCATCCGTACTCATCAAACTTAACAACAATTTAAACTTTATTGACTATTAAAGTGGATAAAACTGAAAACACCAATTAGAATACTCTACTGGCAGTTTATAGTCACGGCAGAGCCCTCATTTCAAATTTAGCGTAAAAATGTCAGCAATGCATCACTGTTGTCACACAGCCAGCACACTTGATTGTCGTTAATACGTAAATACTTACATTGCATGGGACCCATATCGACCTAAACTTGGAGTGGTGAATATTAGCTTTAACACTTGTATGACATCATTATTTGACACCATACCAATGGAATTAAAACAAAAAAAAAAGTTTTCACAGTTCGTATAAACAAAAAAACAAAACAAAATGGCATCTTACCATCATGATAACAACCCATTTAATAATAGACAATCCAAAACCAGATATGGCACCATAGCGACCTGCCACAGTAGTTGTCATACAAAACGAAAACAGCAGGCCAACCCAGTTGAAGATAAATGCAACTAAAAACGAAAAAAAAAAGAACATTAGAATTACAGTCATGTAAACATATGACAGAAAAATGCACTATATAGTTTTCAAATACCATATTTGTTCTATAAACAAACGCTAACAGAAATTACAGAAGTGTTTCTGTGGTCTAAATAAGTCATATTTTAATAAAAAAATGCAAATAGATTTTTTCCTAATTTAATATATTTTTCTAAAAATTTTTTATTTTAAATTATTTAGTCCAAAATGAAAATAAAAATGTGGAAAAATACACAACATTGAAGAGGGAAAAATGACGACAGTTAAAAGTTTCATTGTCAGATATTTTTTAATTGCTTCAAATTTCACAAAACTGTTAACATTCCTTTTTTTTTGCCGGAAATTTAGAATTTTTTTTTTATAACATTAAATTTGCATTAAAAAGCAAATTGAGCATAATTTTTAATGGTAATTGTATAACGAAAAAAAATGTTTGCACACCGATTTTTGAAAAAACAAACAAATTGTCCAAAAAACAAACTTTTAGGAATAGATAATTTGCGAAAGATAAAAGTCAAGTCAACTTTAGGTGATGCTACTAAAATTTGCAATTCTCCCTTGACTTGCGAAATTAAATTGCTTCAAAATAATATCAAAGGCAGCAATCAATAAAAAACTGATAACAGTAATAATCATTTGACGCTGAACTGAGACATGGCCTTGCGGAACAATGGTTATACAGCTAGTATCAGTGTTTAGTAAATGCATTGGGACTTGGTGAACCGCGGACCGAATGGTAAATACATGACCTAATTTATTTGTAAGAACTGACCATGGCACGGCACAACAAATACAGGCTTTATGTTAATAATAGATAACATTTCACATACATGCAAGGTCACCTCTAATCTGAACCAAGCCTTGCTCAACACCAGGTACAACTCAGTGAAGGGAAAAGCGTCCTCTTACGATACACAAATGTGTCTAATTTGCATATCACAGGAGTGTGTCTGACAGTGAAGATTTCAACATAGAATAGCGCCCTCTTTCATCACAAAAATAAGCAAATACACAGTAATATGCAAATAACATGCCT